CCCTGCTGAGCAAGGAGCCCGATGTGGGGCTCGATCCCAGGACCCTGGGATCCTGACCTGAGCTGAAAGCATTAACTTTAATTAACCCACTGAGCCACCCAGGCATCCCATGTTTCTATTCTCTTTTTGGAACTCCTCTGAGGCATATAATGAAACTGTTCACTACATCTTTCATATCTCTTATCCTGTTATAGTTTTTTTTTTTTTTACTCTCCTTCCTTGCTTTTTAGAGCTTACTAATTTTCCCTTTAATCTACTTTTACCTCATGTACTTAGTTTTTAAAAATAGTCTGATTTTTACTTAGCATTTCGATACTTCTTCTGTAATATGCTGTAATTACTTGACATACTGAGATTTTATTTAAAGTTACCTTGCCAATTCCTCAAATCAGTATCAATTTATATTCATTAGTTTTTTTCCCTAGTGACAACTGTTTCCTTTGAACTTTGTTTTTCCTTTGGTCTAAGTTGTTTGAATTTTCCCAATTCAACTACGAAAAATTTCTCTCACAGAAAATTAGAAGGAATGATAAAAATTGACATCCAAATTCTACTTAGATTCTAAATTTTTTTCTTATTTATTTTCTCTAACACTTCTCTTTCCATCTTACCATTTGAAATGGAGTTCCAAATTGATTGAGAAAAGAGTAAGAATAGTGATGACTCCTGAAGGTGATTACTGAATTGGCAGGTGCATGGGAGAACCCTTCTCAAGCACTAGAAATGTTCACTATCTTGATCTCTGCAGCAGTTAAATATGTAGAAGGGAACTCAACCGTATACTTGACATTTGTATACTTTACTGTGTGTAAGCTGTTATTTCAAAAAAGAAGGTGGAAAAAGTTGTAGGTGTCATGACAATTTACCCCTAAATACTGAAAAATGTATTTCCTAAGAATAAAGACATTTCCCTACATAATCACATACCTATTATCACACTCAGGAAAATTAATAATTTCATAATAATGTATTTAATCAATGTTCACCATTTCCCAACACAAAATGCCTTTTATAGGAGCTCTTTCCCATCCTAGCTGAAGCTAGAACCACACACTGCATTTGCTTACAACTCTTCAGTCTTGTTCAGTGTAGAATAATCTCCAATCTTTTCTGTCCTCTGTGACATTGAGTCCAGTCCATCTGTCTTATAGAATGTCCAAATACTGAACCTGTCGGTTTTCTTCACAGCACTTAACTTTTTTACTTTATCCCCTGTATTTCTTGTAAAATGGGAGGTTCAGAAGCTTAACAACACAGTCATCTTTAGCTGGAATACTTCACAGATGATAACAGTCATTCACGGACTTTAAAATTTTAGGACCACCTTGAAGTTCTATTTGGTCCTTTCTTTAGAGCCCTGTTGTTCTTGAGTCTTCTAATGCACTGATAAACTCCTTCCCTGTGTATCCTATAACATGGAATTTTTAGCTTATCAGTGGGCATTATCTATGTGGATTCCACGAGCCCCAGATAGGCCAAAGAGATTTTGCATTTACTTCTGTCTAGTGCCTGACTGCTATTACTTCTCCAGGACTAGTTGTTGGGTTGAAAGTTCCTGGACAGCACCCATAAGTATAAATATGAACCCCGCACCATGATGAGGACAGGCCTATAATTAAGAATTAAAGGGAAACTTTAACCTTTATCTGGACTGCTGGTGAAGACAAACAAATTTCATTGTTATTAATGTATACTGAGTAAGTAGATTTTCTTCTAGTTCACCCTTTTGCTGAAGGTAAAGCTCTTCAAAGGCTCAGCTTTATGTGAGGATCCGCATTCCAACTACCCTTTGTGACACTGGTTGAAGGCCTAGTCTTACATCCCCACACATCGACACCCGCATCCCTTTGTTGCACAAGGTGACAAACTGACCTCACTGGAGGCCACTGTAGTATTTTTTCCATGAAAATCAAGCATTACTACTAAGGGGGAAAAAATTAAAACTACTTTGATTTCACTTGTATTTGGAAATGAAAAGGTTTATTATTAGTTTCAAAATAATCACATACATTTTTAAAAAGTAGTGATGTATACAGGTGTACTATTATTAAATCCAATGACAGTACTTGTTGCACTCAAGGATTATAGACCACCCATAAAATTGTACAGATTTCCCTGCTTTAAATGTTACTTAGAATCCTCTATTCCAATGGTAATACTTATCATCAACAGAAGTTATGTAAACAAAAAAAAAATATCAAGCACACTAAAAATCCAACATTTGATAATAAGTCCAAATAGGGATTTCTCAAGGGCAAAGAACAAAGCTTACCTGACATATGTTAGACAACAAACAAGATCAAGTCTTGAAATTCTTTTTGATTCTAAACTCATACTTAGACTTGAGTGTGGTTCAAGTTTGGTAGACAGGTTAAAATGTTAAATCAGACACTAAACACAATACTATTTGTTCCAGTTAAGAAACACAGACAGTGGCACCAAATAATTATGTCTCTTTAACTCCTGTTTGAAATGGATGCTTCCATTTGCATGACCATGGAGTATGGTGTGGTAACATATTTCAGTTTCAACAACTACTCTTTCTGAAAAACATAAAGAAAAAGCAATGATGATATTAAAAGTTGACTCACCACTGTCCTCTGTTTATTGGGCAGGAAGACTCTAACGATAGGTTTTTGTGGTGACTTTGGATTGCTCCGTGATACATCTGTGGGATTTTGAAAAACTGAAAGAGATGAAGGTAGCACTGAAAGGCTAGAGGAGGAAGAAGATGTAACGGTGTCTGTTGATGCAGAGCTAGAAACAGAAAAATCAGTTCCATTCCCCAGGGATTCCAGTAACTGTTGTTCTCGCTGTTGGAGGGCATCTAGCTTGCTGGTGTATTCTTCATAGGCCTATAAAATAAAGCAGACTTACATTGAATCTGGACTTTCTCCTGACAATAACAAAAGGAAGTAAGAAATTTAAGCCTGATTTATAATCTTTTTATAATCTAGCTAACAGGGTTTTAAGTTAGAAGTTACAAAATAAATGCTAAAAGTACTATAAATTAATACTTCCACTTTTAATATTTATAAATCTTTTGTGATATTACATTGCATTGAGAAACTGAAAAAAATATAAATGTCTAGAATAGCCATGAGTATTAATTTAAAAAACACAGTCTTTACAAATTCTGGTCATACTGCAATTTACCTTCCATACCACGTATCTAACATAAGATAAAATATTATATACTACATCAAGGGTTAAGTATAATCTCTTTTAAAAATTTATTTTTTTTCCAGAAAAGTTGTAGGTATATAAAGTTTCATACCTTTCTCCCTTTCAAAGAACAGAAACAGAGGTTGAAAAGGAGATGAGGTCTTAGAAGAGATTTATCAAAAAGTAAGACTCTGGTAGGTATAGTGTCAGATCTCTCCATTACCACCAAAAACTCAATAGGACTTAAAAGATGTATAACTGCCACCTTCTTTCTGAAAGAGCTGTTAGTTAAAATACTTTATTCTCCTCACTATGGATCTCTGATGATCCCATCAAATACTGCTTAGAGAATAAGATTTTATCTGAAAAGATGGTTTACACCCTGCAATTGAGAAATTCTGGGGCCATTATCCATCAGGGTTTCTTTCTACAAGTTTCATTTGACTAAGGCTATAAAGTCAAATGACCACATAAGATATCATATTCTAAAAGTAACAAGAATTTTGAAAACAGTAATATTGAAAGTAAAGAGATGGAATGAATTGGAATATATATATAACTATGGTTCATAGTTCTTTAAGGCAGTGGTAATCACTCTCCCCCACACCATAGTCCACCATTTCTGTTTACCACCACACATAGATGCAGTAACTACAAACATTTATAAAAGGCTACAAAGGAGAATCAGAGAATTTAAAATGGCATTTCCTATCCCTCAAAGAATTTATTTTTGGGCTGCACAGAAGCAGGTGGATGTATTTTTATTTAAGTGCTGTACATGAGAAATGAACACTTTTGATATAAGGTGAGAATGAGGAAGGAAAGGGCCTCAAAATGTTAGCAATTAGGTAGATGGAGTTAAGTGGGGAGAAGAGAGTACTGTGTATAGGAGAAATTCTGCCATAAAGTAAATAGGTAGGAAATTCTGTGGCAGCTACGTGGCTCAGTCGGTTAAGTTACTGACTCTTGGTTTTGGCTCAGGTCATGACCTCAGGGTCCTGGGAAGAAGTCCTCTGTCCAGCTCCATAGGTAGTGCATAGTCTGTCCCTCTCCCTCTGCTCCTCTCCCCCCCATCTCCTGCTCTCAAACAAGTAAAATCTTAAAACAAAACAAAGAGGTAGGAAATTTTAAGGCAGAGAGAGAAAAGTACAGACTAGTATTTTTAATATCTGGGAAATAGCAACGAATCAATATATGCTTGTGGTATTTAAATGAAAAACAGCAACAGAGGGAAGCAAATAGTTAAGACTGGGAAAACGGGTAAAGGACTAGCTTGTAGAGGGTGTATATACCAAGCCATGAAGCCTAAACTTCACTCCACAAGCAAGGGAGAATTATCAAAGGATAGAAGGGAATGAAGGAGAATTTTTGTTTCAATAAAGACCACTGCACTTACTATGCTAGCTCTTAAAATATAATTTTCAAGAAAAAAAAAGAGGAAAAATACTAAATTGAGCCTATGAGGTAAAGGGCCTAAAGTACATCAAAATGCCCTCTCCTTTACCCTACTGGATGCCCTATCCTGATTCCGCACATGTTTCATAGCATTTCAGGACATTATAACCAAATAAATTCAAAATTTTCTAAGCTATATTTTGATTTAGCTTTCAGTTGCCAGATCTAATTACTTAAGGGCATCTCTTTCAATATGATCCACTTTTTGAGCCTTTAAAATCAGTCAATTAAGGGCCGCCTGCGTGGCTCAGTCAGTTAAATGTCCACTCTCTCTTTCTCTCTCTCTCTTTTTTTAAAGATTTTATTTATTTATTTGACAAAGAGACAGACATTGAAACAGGGAATATAAGCACACAGAATGGGAGAGGGAGAACCAGGCAGGGAGCCCGATTCAGGGCTCAATGCCAGGACTCTGGGATCATGACCTGAGCTAAAGGCAGATGCTTAACAACTGAGCCACCAAGGTGCCCCCCAAGCGTCTACTCTTGATTTATGTTCAGGTCAAGGATTTCTACTCAGGATTCTCTCTCCCTCTCCCTCTCCCCGCTCCCTTGAAACTCATTCTCTCTCCCTCTCTCTCTAGGGGGAAAAAAAAAAAAAAAAAGCAGCAGCACCAAAAAGCAAAAACAAAAAAAATACCAATTAGTAATAGTGAACATACATGTGCCTGGCACTGTTTGGGGCTCAAACTACAAAAATAAAGACTGACAGAATTCCTACCCTTGGAAGAACATACACAAGTATTCTACGAGATAAAATTACCTCCTGCGTAGATCAAATCTTATTTACTATCATCTGGACAAGTACATTTACTACACAAAGTTAGCCTTAGGAAAAGTAATAAATGTAAACAATAAATTCTCAGGATGTTACTTATCAAAATGTTAGTCTTAATTTTTGAAAATATACTGTTCCCTCTATAATGGATTACAAACTATTTCATTGCATTTACCAACAGCTCTTCCTCTTCTCAAGTATAAGGCATTTACTTATTCCACCTACCTCATCCTCACAGCCAAAATCTATCAAGGCACTTGTACCTGGCTTGGCTCATTTCTTCCCATTACTCTTGCTGCATTCAGTGTGGATTACTCTTTCAACGCTCCTGCCTTGAAGTTATCTAAATATCTTATCTCTAAAAGTATTTATTTTCACTCTACCTTCCAGATCCATGAGTTCCAAATGATGACAAGATCTCAATTTGTAACTTACCTTGTCTCTGAGCACACCTTCTTAAGTTTCCATCTCACTACATTAATCTGTTCATGAGCAACATTAGTCCCTTAGTTTCTTAGAGTGGGGCCTTCATTGTCTTAATTCCCTTCTTTGTGGCTCACCATTTCAATAATGCCACCAGTAACATCTCTGATTCTCTGGCTATTTCTTATTCTTTAACCAACTTTTTTTTTTTTTAACAAGATTTTATTTATTTATTTGACAGAAATCACAAGTAGGCAGAGAAGCAGGTGGAGGCAGGGGTGGGGGCAGGGTGGGGGCAGGGTGGGGGTGGGGGAAGCAGACTCCCCACTGAGCAGAGAGCCAGATGCACGGCTTGATCCCAGGACCCTGGGATTATGACCTAAGCCAAAGGCAGAGGCTTTAACCCGCTGAGCCACCCAGGCACCCCTCTTTTACCAACTTGCTTGTCAAATAAAAATACTAAGTAAATCCTACTTAAATTCTTATTCTTTAACCAACCTGCTTGTCAAATACAAATATTAAGTAAATCCTACTTAAATTCAATTACTCCATTCTTTCTCTCAGGTTACTACACACTGCTAAAGAAGACATTAATAAGACAAAGCCAATTACTTCCATAATCAATTCATGGAATTAGTCCTTCACATGACTACCTGAAAAATTTTACTTATTTTTAGTACCATCACATTATGTTTTTCACAATACTCACTCCAATCTTTTCTAGGCTTCCTTGGTTTCTTACCTTCATCCCTCAATCTTTAATTCACTCAGAAAAAAAGCATTAACTTCAAATTTACTCTAAAGATCAAAGCCATCAAATTAAAGCTTCCTCTTCTTTGTCTAAGCAATTCCCCACATCTTTCCCAATCCTTCTTCTGTTCTTAATTTAGTGCTGGCACTGAGTGTTTGGAGCCTCAGGCCCTGGTACATTGTAATCCCTATTCACTCTTACATCTTCCAACCTTTTCCTCTGTTTCCTTACCCAGCAAATGTGAACACATCTTCCCACATATATGCACACCTCAGCCACCAACACTGCCATCAACAAAATTCTTGTGGTTCTTCAAGATGTTGCAGATCTACATACTTTTCCAGAATGCAGCTTGCCCCAAGCCCTATTTTTTCTCATCAAAATCCTACTTATTTTTCAAGGCACCTGAGTGGCTCAGTCAATTAAGCGTCAAGACTCCTGGTTTCAGCTGACATCATGATGTCATAGTTCTTGGGATTGAGCCCCTTGTCAGGCTCCATGCTCAGCAGGGAGTCTGCCTGAAGATTCTCTCTCTCTGCCCGTCCCCCCATGCACATTCTCTTGCGAGCTCTCTCTCAAAGAAATAAATAAATCTTAAAAAAAAAAAAAAATCCTACTTATTTTTCAAAGTCCAATTCAAAGCTCTGCTTGGTAAAACCCAAGAGGTATTGTCTTTACCTCCTTTAGAGTATTACCACATTCTTCTTTATATGACTATTTCTTTCTCATGTATGAAAAAATTGTGAGGATTAAATGAGATAGTACGAGTAAAAGAAGACTATTACTGAGACTACCATACAGCAAAAACCCAATAAATATTCTTATTAGTAAAAATAAGTAGTACTGGTAATTCCTGTTATGTTTATTATTGTTATCACTATATTATTTAACTCTGTTAACATGATTCTACTAAATTATAAGCTAGTTGAAGGCACAGATCATGTCAGATGTTTTTGAATTAAATAAAAGGGTACGGGGTGCCTGGGTAGCCCAGTGGTTTAAGAGCTGGACTCTTGATTTCAGTGCAGGTCATGATCTCAGGGTTGTGACACTGAGCCCTGTGTCCAGCTCCATGCTCTATGTGGAGACTACTTAAGATTCTCTCCCCCACTCTCTCTCTCCTTCATGCCCAACCCTGCTCATGCTCTTTTTCTCTCTCAAATAAACAAATAAATAAACTAATTAAATTATAAAAGAATACAAGAACACTTAAATCATTAGGGTAACAATATTCCCCCAAACTGATTTACAGATTCACTGCTGTCCTTATCAAAATCCCAGTGG